TGGCGATTAGGGCTGTGAGATGGGGTCGGACCGGCGAAGAGGTTGGGAGGAGCTATCTGCAACTTACCAGCGCAGAGGTTTGGAACCACGGTTTCGTTACCATCGCAACCTGGGCCAAGAGACCTTCTTTCAGACGGCCTGGACGCGGGGACTGGACTGGCCCGGCCGCCAGAGAGACAGAGCAAAACTAGCACCAGAAAAGCACAAAAAAAAAGCACAATCGGACTGCGTCGAGCACAAGAAAAGCACAACAGACAGAGACAATTTTGCACCAGAACTGCCGCGCGCCAATGTGTTTTGAAATCATGGAGCACAAAAAAAAGCACAAACATACAAACACGTTTGGTTTTTGGAGCACAAGAAAAGCACAAAAAAAAACACAATCGGACCGCGTCGAGCACAAGAAAAGCACAACAGCCGGAGCGTTTCGAGCACAAGAAAAGCACAAAAAAAAAGCACAAACATACAAACACGTTTGGTTTTTGGAGCACAAGAAAAGCACAAAAAAAAGCACAATCGGAGCGTTTCGAGCACAAGAAAAGCACAACAGCCGGAGCGTTTCGAGCACAAGAAAAGCACAAAAAAAAAGCACAAACATACAAACACGTTTGGTTTTTGGAGCACAAGAAAAGCACAAAAAACAAGCACAATCGGATCGTTTCGAGCACAAGAAAAGCACAACAGCCGGAGCGTTTCGAGCACAAGAAAAGCACAAAAAAAAGCACAAACATACAAACACGTTTGGTTTTTGGAGCATAAGAAAAGCACAAAAACAAAGCACAATCGGATCGTTTCGAGCACAAGAAAAGCACAACAGCCGGAGCGTTTCGAGCACAAGAAAAGCACAAAAAAAAAGCACAAACATACAAACACGTTTGGTTTTTGGAGCACAAGAAAAGCACAAAAAAAAAGCACAATCGGAGCGTTTCGAGCACAAGAAAAGCACAACAGCCGGAGCGTTTCGAGCACAAGAAAAGCACAAAAAAAACACAAACATACAAACACGTTTGGTTTTTGGAGCACAAGAAAAGCACAAAAAAAAAGCACAATCGGATCGTTTCGAGCACAAGAAAAGCACAACAGAAAAGAGGTTTCTGTGATCGAAATGTCGCGCCCGGGTACGCCTCTCAGTACTAAACTTGGTCGAAGAGGCCAGACCCCGGCCCGGCCCCAGCCCCCCCCCCCACCCCCCCCGTCCGTTCAGCTTTCCAGCCCAGCCCCCTCAGCCCCCAGCACCCCCAGACCCCCCCCCCCCCGCCCCCTAGTCGCGCAGAGGCATTGCAGCTCCTGATGTTTGCTCAAGATCGAACCCGAGAAAACAACAGGGGTGTGACTGTGTTTGCAACTCATGGGGTGGCAGTTTACTTGTTGTCTCAGTCTTGCGTTTTCCATTCATGCGAGCATGATCACAAACGAGTCAACATTTCAGCATTTCCCTGGTGCTTCATCTTGTGCTTCTGTTTCTGCCCACTATTAGTGAGGCGGGGCCGCACACAAGCAAAACCCAAAACACGTATAAACACAATGTAAAAGGAGCTTCGACGGAAGTGTTGCCATCCCTGACTGTCAACCTTCTGAAGCCTCGGGGGCATTGTCCGGGACCCTCAAACTAGGGAGAAGCTAATGGACAAGGAATCCGGGGAGCCCTCGGTGGCAAGTCTCTTGAAGTTGTACTTCGGGGAGCGGTTTTTCGATCTACCACCCGGTTGACGGCAGTGCCGCTCGCGAGCTCTGTACCTTTTTGTCCCCTAAACTCAAGTCGGCGCCGAAGGCAGCGGTGCTGGGTTCAGAGGCCGCCGGCATCGTGGGTTTGGGCGGTCTTTGAACTTCAACTAAGATGAGTCCTTGCTGGCAAGACGGGCTTACTCTCGCTGCATGATTCGGCACACTTTGACTTGCAGCTTCACGCTAAGTCGTTGGACGTGCGGCTTGATGGCTACTGGTCGAGGTCGAGATCACTTTACGTCGGCTTGCTGATCCTGCATGGCATGGCATGATGCCGCCCTTCTCTGCGCTGTTCACACAGTGGGGATGTTGTGTGTATCTGCACAAAGACAAGTTGCAAGATGAACCGCTCACGTTGCCAGGTTTGGGCTGTGGCATCTGCTGGTGTGGGAGGTGGAGACTCGGCAGGCAATTCGGTGATGGCACATCACCCAACACTACTCAGTTGAGGCTTCACGAGGCAACCTTGGTATACTGGTTCTGGTGAGAAGGTGCTACATGACAAGAGCATACAAGAGCAGAGGCAGCAAGTGTGATATCATGGTGCTCTATGGTTCGATCACCGAGCTAAGCAGCGCCGCCGTTGAATGTGTTACGCACAAAGCGTCTAGGCCTAAGCCTAATCCGGCTCTGCAATGGTCCACATCTGTGTCTCGCGCCAGCTCGTGGCATGAAATGAAACATGGGTGCACATATATGCACACACACACACACATACATAACATGTCAATGTAAAATGTGTGTCTATATGTATGTACACACCTATGCATGCACACATAACTTATCACTACTGCAGTCGCAAGTATGTCTCATTTACCTCGATGCAACCAGATTTGATCGCAGGTGGTTCGTTGCACTGCGAATAGTCACTTATTTGCTCCCATTCGGGTCTGGAGATACGGCCTTTTGCTTCAGCGCTTGCATGTGTACTGTACAGCATCGGACAACCAGCCTTGCACCAGTACTGAGGACGTGCCATGGCGGCATTCAACCAGGCAGGCAAAGGCCTCACCGTGCACTTGCTGCAGGCGGGTGCTTGTGCTGAAAGCAATCACGTTGATGTGACCACGGTATGCCAAGGCCACAAGGCCATATTAGGCTTCAAATTACGGTTGTAAACAGTGGACATTTGGATGTGGCATGCACTGTTACTGTGGATTCTCGGTTTCTGCACGCTTCCCTCTCGTTCTCGATGTCTGCTTTTGTCAGACTGCGGGCACGCCCGATACCAGATTCGCGAGCCCCCAAAACAACCTTCTTGGGCTGTCTGCTACGCGGACTCAGCAGCTACTCCATGTGACACGAACTTGGCTCCTCACTGAACTGGGTGGCCAGAAGTATAATACGACAAGCACGGGAAGACCTGCTTTGGCATCACGCTGTGATGCGGTAGTCTGACAGTCGACCGGCTTGTTTAATAGAAATTTCCGGCAGGCGGTTGACGGCGTCATCGGACCCTCAGGCCACCGGAACCTCCACACCTCATGCCTCGAGGTCATCTTCAGTGTAGCTCATTGAGTCCGTGCCCGACATGATGACTTCGAGTAACCATTCTGGCCAAGGGCTCGTTGCTGGAATCAGGTCTGCAACCTCGAGCCATGCATCACAATTACACGTTTGCAGTGAGATACAGCCAGGAGATGCGGTGAGCTCAGTCAGAACACTAAGCAGTCAGTGTAAGTTCTTGCAAAGACCCAGCACGGCCCATGGTCTCGGCCACCTGGCCCTGCGTCTACAGATAAATATCTACAGGAATCCTACTACACAGTTTCCACGCGGCAAGCACTACGGTTGATGATATAAATCCTGCATTGCCCATAGTAAGGATTAGACCATAGTTCCCATAGTTTAGGGTCCCTAAGGTAATGCAGATTTATATCATCAACAGTAGGTGTCGTGAGGACTCTTGCCGGTCCTGAATCATCCCTGAAGTCGAGTCTGTGTAATATGTAGGAACCTGATTAAGAATCCCTGGGCCTATGACCCCAAAATACTACGACTCATATAAGGCACCCCAATGAAAGCCCAAGGTTTCTTAATCAGGTTCCTATATTATCCCGCCGGTTGAAGACAGGCTCCAGCAAACTGGAGGCCTGGGAGCAAGTGGGCGGATCGCTGCCGGGCACTTGGCGTTTGTACTGCATCTCTTCTGAACGGCGATCATTCGCTTGCGAGCGTATTACTATTACTAGCATTATTACTTTTTTTAGTATTACTACCACTGCCACTGCCACTGCCACTACCACTACCACTACCACTACCACTACCACTACGACTACGACTACGACTACGACTACTACTACTACTACTACTACTACTACTACTACTACTACTACTACTACTACTACTACTACTACTCCTACTCCTACTCCTACTGCTACTGCTACTACTACTACTACTACTACTACTACTACTACTACTACTACTACTACTACTACTACTACTACTACTACTAGTACTACTGCTTCTGGTCATCCTTAGTTGTTTCCCATCTTCTCATTAACTGTAAGGGCCTGCTTGACTTTATCAAGACATGAGCTCATGCTTGAGGGGTGTTCGGGCCTCTTTGAGGATGTTTCGTTGTTAGCGTATTGCCCAATACATGCAGAGCAGGATCTGGCATCCGGAGGTTGTCCGTTCCGTGAAGCAAGTTGGCTCCAGTTCTGATCCGTTGCTGTTTCAGAACACCTCAAACACATACTCGGATTCACTGCAGGGTGGCCATCTCCGTCGGCTCTGCCAACCTGCTCATCTACGTGAGGCGCGGCCGATCCATCACATCATGTAACGCAGAGTACTATCGAAAGGGATTGGCGGAGGATTAATGATTACCGTTTGAATAAGACCATGAGCCGGAAGTTGCTCGCAAGCTGGGCAGCTACTAGGCGCATATCACGTTTGTTTCACGAGGTGGGCCTTTCCATTTCAGCAAGTTTGCTCAGATGACACGAATAGCCGGCATTGAAGCAATTCTCAGATACCATGGGTTCCACTAGCCGGAACCCATGCTACCGTAGAATCGGGATGGGGTACTTCGACAAGTCGTCAGCAGTGCCTCCTTGATCCCAATATTGGCTCTGGCTTGTCCTGGTTCCTGCAATCGTTGCTCATTTCATGCAGCCTTTCAGATGCGACTCCCGCCGACATGAGGGCCCTTGCGCGTAGCGGAAAACAGGTGTGCAGCCCTGTAATGCTGAGCCAACCAGGCTCCACTAACCGAATCTGAGGAGTGCGAAGCCTCCAGATTGCATTGGTAGCGTGCCCCAGATCTCTCGATGTCGTCCCCCGTTCCCGGTGGCACCATCGACGACTTCTTGGACGACCAGCCTGAAGAACCACCTGGTGACGGAGATTCTGAGCACCTTGACGGTGAAGAGGCTGAAGAGGAGCATCCTGACCTCCTTGATGATCAGGACGAAGAGCTACTTCCGGAACCTCCTCGAGGTGGCGCTTCGGCGAGAGGCCGCCAAGGTCTCAGAACGGGCTCTCAGGCGGGATCGTCTGGAGGAGCCTCTAACGGGAGGCGGCCGGCACTTGGCAATCACGGTGACGCCAAGACGGCCGCGAAGGACGATGATGGCAAGGCGCGAGCTCAGCGGCGACCTCGTGGGAACCTTCCTACGGCACCCGTGTTTGACGGCGACAAGCGGAAGGACCCTAAGTGCTTCAAGAAGTACGCGGCGAAGGTCGACAGCTACGTGGAGATCGCCAAGAACATCATCGACGACTCCGAGATAGGCCTCCGCTTGCACGCGGCTCTGGAGGGCGAAGCGGCGGACTACTTGGAGGATATCCCGGCCCGGACCTTTGGAGTTGAGTCCGGATGGCAGGTGCTTCTCAAGTTGCTGCAAGACAAGTACGACGAGAAGCGCATGCACAAGGTGGGTTCTGCGATGCAGGGCTTCTTTAAGCTGAACTTGAGCGACCGCCAGTACACCATGCTCGAGACGGCGGATGCCATGGACCGGGCAGCTCGTCGCTGCCGAGAGGCGAACTTGGTGATCCCCGACGAGATCATGATCTACTTCTTCTTCGAGCACGCCCAGCTGTCCACGGAGCGCCAAGCGAACCTTTTGCTCAGGACCTCGGGTGAGTACGACTGGAAGAAGCTGAAGCAGGCGGTAGAGCTCCTGTACCAGAACGTTACCGTCCGCGCCGGTGCTTCTGCTCGTCCCGACCAAGGCCATCGAGGACGGCAAAGGGGGGCACACGAGACTCACCGTGAAGAGTGGGACTTTTGGGGAAAAGCTCCGGATTGGAATGCGACCGAGGAGCAGCTCCAGAACTTTCTCTACGACCACGACCCCGTCGAGAACTTGGCCGAGTGCGAGCTCGCTTACGAGATCCCGGAGGACATGGCCCGGGAGCTGCACACGTGCTTCCAGACGCACAGGGAGAATAGGCAGCGGCTGGCAAAGGCCGTGCAGGCACGTGGCTTCTACGTCGGCGGCTCAAAGGGCAAGGCCAAGGGATCAAAGGGGGCCGGCAAAGGCAAAGGGAAGTCCAAGGGCAAGAAGGGGCTCGGGAAGGCCCCCGGAATGTCCTTGGAGGAGCTGAAGGCTAAGACCACCTGCGCCATTTGTGGTCAAGTCGGCCATTGGAAAGGCGATCCTCAGTGCCGCGGGAAGTCCGCGAACGAAGCCTCCCGCACCACAGTCGAGGAGAACACCGAGGACGCCGAGGACTGGTACGGCTACGACGGCGAGTACACGGCGGAGCAGTGGGCGGCATGGGAAGCGGAGCGTTACGGATATGAGGAGCGATCGACCTATGTGGCGTCGCGCCCTACCACGACCAGCTCTCCGACCCCTACGGCGGCCCCGACTACGACCCCTACGACAACTACGACCTCGAGCCCTTCGGCGGCGGCGCTAGAGGCAGAAGCTCGAGCCGTTGCACGTGGCATCAACCGGGTGCGAGGTCGGGCTAAGGAGTCGGTCGCAGCCTCTGCTGGCGCCGATGCAGCTACGCAGGTGAAGACGGACCGCTTCCTCGTGCAGGCCGAGGCCGTGAAGGAGAAGATTAAGTCAGCCAACATGCCGGTCATGTCGCCAAGCCCGGCCCCGGAGGCGGTGAAGAAAGCGTTCGAGCACTTTGGCCTTACGATGGCTACCCCTACGGGAGCGACCGTGCGGGAGTTGCTGGACAACTCTGCGAAGGCCGTTGATGTGGAGAGCCTTCGCAAGGCTATGGTGGCGACCCGGGCGGTTCGCACAGTGGACTACGACTTCTCCTTGTCGTCGCCCCGGGCGGTTCACTCGAACATGCGGCGCTCTCCGACGGTCTCCGACGGCAAGACCTACCTGACGCTCGACACCGCATGTGAGAACACCGTGGCGGGCACGAGCATCCTCCAGAGCCTCAACGCGGTGTGGGAGCGCAGGTTTAGCCTGCAGCCGAAGATCGAGCCTGAGTCCGAAACTTATTGTTTCGGCCCGGGCGAACCGGTGACTTCCCTGGAGCGATGGTATGTGCCGATCGGGATTCGTGGGGCCAACTCCGTGATTTGTTCGTCTTCCATTCCGGACACTGTGGGTTCGAAGATTCCCTTCCTTGCTGGCCAGGACTGGTTGGTCTTCGTCGACGCGTGCATCGACGTGGGCCGGAGCGAGGTGGTGCTGAGAGAGCTCAACGTGACGGCCCCGATCTACATTGACGTCACGGGACACCTCGTGCTGGCCATCGACGAGATCGAGGAATGGCCTAAAGGAGTTGTGGCCCGCAAGAATGGCTACCCGGGCGTGCTGTTCGAGGGCGACGGGAGGTCAGCATGTCAGACTTCCAAGGCCGAGGCCCGAGTAGACAGTCCGTTTGCACCGGGTGAGTTCGGGAATCATTTCGCCCCCACACATGTGTATGAGCCCATTACCGCAAAAGAGCAAGCACAGCCATGCACAGTACCAACCGATATGTGGGAGTTTTTGATCGACAGTCAAGTGTATGTGCGGCACCATCGCAGGCCACGACGTGAACTGTTCAGCCCTGAGGAATTTTTGGATGGACCCGACCCGCGGGACCTACAGGATGTGCGTGTCACCCTCTTATCCAACGAGGCAGAGCCTGTGATCGACTCGTGGAGAGGGGTGACAAATGTTCCGAGGGAGCCTTGGGTAGGTGTGACGTACTTCTTCGGCAAGGGCGCAAAGCAGCTTGATAAGGTCAGCATGCTTAGCCCCCCGTCCAAGGTACATGTGACGTTGAAAGATGGCACGGTTTTACATGCTGATCCTTCTGAATTACGACTAGTTTGCCACAACAAGGTGCATCACTTTGATCTCAGCAGTGCCCAGCGTCTTGACCTACACCATGCAGCCCACCTTGATATCCCTCGTTCACATCGGAAGGGTCGCTTTGAGGTTCCGCTCGGTGAGTTTGGCTCCGAGCACAGCAAAAGTAGACCTCAACCGCGCGATCGATCACATGCGACGGCTTCTTCGAGCAACCGCAGGCAGCGATGCTCCGACTGGGGGCGCATGGCGACGGGGCTGGTGGACCTGATCCACCTCCACCAGGACCTCGAGGCCCACATCGTGACGATGAGGCTGGCCAAGCACCGGGCTCCTTCCGTGATGGCGGGCCTGGATGCAATGGCGAAAGTCGAGAAGGGCCCCGAGATGATGCCGGGCACAGCACCTCCAGTGACGACGACAGCTCCGGGCCAGATCAAGCGGACCGGGGGGATGTATCCTCAAAAGGTGGAGGAGTGCCGGCACCACCCCGACCTGGCGAGGAGGACGGGCAACAACCACGGCCAGTTCATGGAGTGCTTGGCGTGCGGGAAGATGTGGAAAGCCGTGACCTACACCGTGCCGTACACCGGGGAGACGATGCCCGTGTATGTCAAGGATCACGGCCGCCGAATGTACCCCGGCCGGGGGCCGCTTTCCAAGCTTGCCGGAGTGTTACTTGTCACGCTCGGCTCCCTCCTTGGCGGCCCCATCGAGGGATACTGTGCCGACCGCGCGCAAGACCTCTGTCACCAAGCGCAAGGATTCGACGGCTCTCTCCTCGACGAGTGGCCACACCGAGGGGCCGATGCAGGAGGACGAGGAGACCGAGGAGCCGGTGGACCTGCGCAAGCTCACGCCGGAGGAGCGCGAGCGGGTGCAACGGGTGGCGGCCCAACGCTTGGAGGATCGTCGCCAGGACGAGGCCCGGGCACGGCGAGATCACGAAGCCCGAGCTCGGGAGAAGTACCTGAATCCGGGCGGTGGGCCCAAGCTGCGGGTCGGATTCGAGGAGCCGCTGGTCAAGAAGGAGCTGGCGAACAAGGAGGCGCCGGCGGTCAAGAAGAGCGGCACCAAGGTTTCCGAAGCGGACCGGGTGTCCATTTCGAGCAGCAGCTTCTCGGACGTGGCGGTGGTGACGGACCCGGAGGAGTAGACGAAATCGAACCAGGCGGACCAGTTCAGCTTCGACGCGGGCAAGTCCGCCGGATGCTGAATTGTGCGAGAAATGCGTTGAAGGCCGCTCGGCTGGAGCGGCGAATGACCAACAATCGGTTGGACAATAGCCGGTGGCCTCGCAGGAAGTTTGGCTATGATCTAGTCGAGGTCTTCGGCGGCAGCTCCATGGTGTCGGTGCGGGCTGTGGCGCATTGGGGTCTAAAGGTTTTGCAGCCAATAGACCTACGGTACGGAGTGGACCTAAGGCGGCCCGCGGACCAGCAGTGGCTGCTCGACGTGCTGGGCAAGTTTAACCCGAGGCTCGTCGTGACTGAGTTTCCGTGCACGCCCTGGTCAACCTTGCGCCACGAAGCCCAAACTCCGGACACGGTCGCGCAGCAACAGGACGACCAGATTTACCTGCACTTTGCCAAGCGTGTGTTCGAGGAACAGAAGCGCAGGGGCGGCCACGCACTCGCAGAAGTACCGGGCGATCTTTATGGGTTACCTGAACTACAAGTACTGCGGGAGCACCACTACGAGACTGCGGCCGACCTCTGCACGTTCAACTTTGTGGCGCGGCAGGCTAGCATTGGCCAGCGGACGGTGCGATTCCTTGCGACGCACCCTCTCTTGGTCCAAGGGCTGGCAGCCCGGTGCTGTGAAGATACCGAAGACCACGCGGCAAACCACGGCGGACCGATCTACCCGCCAGCCTTGGGGGACGCGATCTGCCGGGCCTACCTGGACGTTGTTGCGGCCGAAGACTTCGGTTCTACTGCGACTTGGGCACCGACAACCAGGCGAGCCGTGTGCTACGTGGACGCAGTCCGCAGGGAAGATGATTGGAGGCCGTTGTTGGAACAGGCCCAGGAGCTGCTGGGCCGAAAGACGGCTCATTCTCTTCAGGTCCACCCCGGCACGGACTTGTACAAGAAGGTCGAGGCCTTGGTTCCCTGGCAGTTGGCGTCGGTTCAAGTGGCCCACCTTCCGAAGGCCAAGCGTGTGAAGGCAGGCCTAGAGGAGTGCCACAGGGCTTCGGTGCTGCTGCTCAACGACGACAGCGTCACCATCGAGACCGAGTACCTTCAGGACGCCCAGGCACCTCGAGAACGGTTTGTTACACCCGTCCGTGTCGGCATCTTCGTGTTGGGCTACGCGCCGGGAGAGCCTGATGCACCCGCTCCGGCGAGACCAGCTGCAGTACAGCCCGCTCCCGAAGACGTCCCCGTTCGAGACGAGATACAAGAAGGACTCGAGCACGAAGGTCTGGTGCGGCAGGACCTCGCTGGGGAATGTTGGTTCTCAGGCGGGCCTCTGAAGCCGAACGAGAAGACCCTTGCCAAGGCGTTATAGTCCGAATGCACCGTAATCTCGGGCACCCTCGGCAAGAAGATTTCACCAGAGCCCTGGCGCAGAACCAGAAAGTCGCCCCGGAAGCCGTGGCGCTGAGCAGGCGACTGAGATGTGCCACATGTGAGCGGACCCGGCGACCTTTGCCTCCGAGACCTACTTCCCTGAAGGCGACCGGGCCCTTTAACTCACGGGTGTGCCTCGACTTCGTTCACCTTCACGACCACAACAAGGAAGGCCACCTCTTCTTGCACATCCTCGAGCCCAACGGGTCCTACAACGTGTTCCACCCTGTTGAGTCGCGAGTGCCGGCGCACGTGTTCGAGGTTTTCACTACGGTGTGGGCGACGTGGGCCGGATACCCGGACGTGCTTGTGGTGGACCAGGACGGCGCCTTCGAGAGCGATTTCGCGGACAAGATCAGTGGCCTGGGCTCCGCGATCGAGCCCATTGCAGCGCAGAGCCACTGGCAGGCAGGACAAGTGGAGTCCTACAACCGGGCTTTCCGGTACGCGGCTGCGAAGGCCATTGACGAGCACTCCCTGGCCGGCGCAGCAGACATGAAGATGTTGGGCGCGATGGTGGGCGCCGCTATGAACGACAAGGTCAGGACCTGCGGCTGCTCACCAAATGAGTGGCTTTTCGGCAAAAGTCCAAAGACTCCCTGGGACTTGCTGAGTCCTGACGGGAAAGTGCAGGCGCTTCAAGGCCTGGAACAGGACGCCGAATTACGCCGGCGACAACATGTCAGGGCCACTGCGGACGTGAAAGTGGCCGAGTTTGCCGTGAACGACTCACTTCGTCAAGCAGTGCTCCGCTTGGACAGGCCTAGCCGTAAAACCTACGAGCCGGGTGAGCTGGTGGCTTTTTGGAGAGAGGCCAAGATGAAGAAAGACCCAAAGTCTCGCAAACCTCGCAGGGTTCCTGCAGGCTGGTACCGAGGCACCATCATCGGACCGCACAAGGGGAGCCACGAGCAGTCGAACTATTGGGTGACCTCAGGTGGACGATGCCTCTTGGTGTCCAAGGAGCAGCTTCGACCAGCCTACGGAACGGAGCTGTGGCGAGTTCAAGAAGCAGACCTGCAGGCGGCGCTAGATGCACCTCCCGGGACCTACGAGGACATTAGAGGTCAAGGGCCACAGGAAGCCGTGGCACACGACCCCGGAGAGATCATCCCTTTCTTCGGAGGCCTCGACGAAGAGTTCGACTTCAGCGATGCCGGAACATTGCCACCCACGCCGGGACTCCTACCTGCGACTCCTCGTGGACCTCGATTACCCGATCAAGCGCTACCACCAGGAGACGCACACGGAGAACGTGAACGTTCGCCGCGACGAGTAGAACCAGGACCTTCGGCGTCGGCGGCACCCTCGGTGGGAACAGACAACCCAGAGAACCCAATAGTCCATTCAGGAAAGCGCCTTTAAACATTCATCTTTAATTAGAGTTTATAGTCCTTAAATTCATAGGCCTTAATTAAGGTCTGTTACCTTCCTTAATTAAGGTTCATTATTTCTATATATATTTTATATACACATATACATATTTTCTTCTTTTTGCACATGCATGCATGCATGCACACAGGAGAGTTATTGTATGCTCTCCTATATATACGCATGTCCACACATGCATCATGCATTCATTGCAAAATTTTTGTTGCCATGTTTTGGGATGCATGCACTGCATGAGACGGACTTGAATGCACGTTCGACACATTAGATTTATGTGTTGTCTTTTTTTTTTTCGGCTCAAGCTCCGGGCACGTCTACGGAAAGGTCACAAGAAGACCACCGGACAGAGTTTTTGCCCTTGCAATCATGGTTGCAGAGGAGATAGTGCTGCATTGCTCTGCTGGAAGTTTGCTATTATTCTGCGACTTGCATGTATACAGGATCGCTCAAGATCGAGATCGCCACGGCCTGTTCGCTTGGAATGGCGATGGTGTTGGAAAAGCTTTTGGCTCGGAGAGACGCAGCGACTTTCATGCAGACGGTTTTAATCGACATGCACGTGTTGAAACATGTTTTATTGTTTGCGATCGATTTAATGCAAGGATTTGGTACTGGATATGGTGGAGGCATCCCCGTGATTGAGCCTGCAACACCGGTGCAACCTAGATAATTCGGTTTTCCATGCGGGGGCCAGCGAGCTACACCCACGGACTCTTGAATATGTGCAGCAGGTCGATCCTGAAGGGATCGAACTTGCAACCATGGAAGCAAAACGAAGGTGCAAGATCGCGAGTGCATGCTTGAACTGGGTATATATATGTTTTGTTGCACGCCTGCAATTTTTTTGTTTCGTTTGTTTGAGCATGCTTTAACCTAGCTTTTTCGGCTCAAGCAAGCTGCTTGTATAACTCGATCGATCAATCGATCCTCCTTTTCCTTCAGGAGGACTAGTCATGATGTCGAAGCCAACCGCCAGCCCTACCAAGCCCCGGGCTCGGAACACCGCCACCGATGAGCAGGTAAAGAAGATTCTCAGGAGCAACCTCAGCAACCTGGGCACGGCTTACAAAGAGACGGACATGGAGCTGATCGTGGCAGGCTATGAATCCTTCATAGTCGATTTTCTCAAGGTCTCACCAAGGCTGGTAGCGAAGCAGCTCAGCCGTTGTGCGGCAAAGGTCTTTGAAAAAGAATCCTCGGCGGACGTTGATATGTTCGCCCGCCAAGTTGCGTATTCGCTGAGCTATGTTCGCATCAAAATGAAAGCCGTGACGTCTGGCAAGAAGACTCACCCGGCTATCAAGCGGGTCTGCGAGTGCTTGCAGAAGCTAGATGCAGATGAGCTTCAGCAGGATCGCCTGAGTTCGCTTCGCAAGAGAGTGCATAGCCCAGACAGGTCTGCGGGCGGCATGCACATGTGGAAAGGGTGTGCGAATATAAAGGCGAAGGCCAGTCCTGGCAAGAGGCACAAGTCTCAGTCGTCTCGAGATCCTAGGCCAAGCAAGACAGGCACGACTTCGACTTCGGCATCCACGTCTGCAGACATCTATGCCATGTACGGTATCTCCCGTGGTGCTGAGGAAGCCTTGTCGAAGACGGCTCCTGCATCGCCCGCAATCTCGATCGCTAGCTGCAATACAATTCACAGCTCCGATGGCCAGCCTGCGGAGGATCTCGAGACCGCACCCGCAGAGGAGGCTTCCGGATCCTCGGGGATCACATTGCAGTACTTTTGCAAGGCCTCCTGCAAGTACATCACTCGGATGGCGGACGGCACAGAAAAGCGGCGTGCTGTGTTCAAAGGACCTGAAGGATTTCTCAAGACCAAGGTCTTCGGCAAGCTCAAGGACCTGGATGTGCCCAACTTGTTCCTGCAGACCTTCGAGAATGCAGCAGGCCGTGGTGGCATCTCCAAGATCATGAAGCGGCCAGCCGCTAAGAAAACGGCTAAGAAGGCTCCTGCTAAGAAGGCTCCTGCTTCTGCCGGGTCTGCATCTGCAGATGGCGAGGCCGAGGAGCCCGAAGAGCCCGAGGAGCCTGAGCTGTCCACACCCCCGCCCAAGAAGCCAGCGACTCCGAAGTCCAAGTCCTCGCCGAAGCCATCCCCGAAGTCCGCAGCGAATCCATCCCCGAAGGCCGCAGCTACCCAGGCTGGCAGTCCGAACAGGGACAGTCTCATGTGTGCCTCCGTCCACTACATCATGGCTTCCGATCGCACTTACATCACCGGCAAGTTCGGTCCAACCAAGGCCTTGCTCATCGAGATCCACTCAAGGAAGTCCGACAAGCATCGGGATCTGGTCAAGGAGCTTTTCCTCGAGGCTGAGCGGCTTCATTCGACTACCCCCTGGGGTGAGCTTCGTGAGCTGATGCGGAACCGCCGTGAGGAGGTCCTCCAGCGGCAGGCTGAGTGATAGCTTGATCGAGGGATGCCAGGGCCCAGCCCGGTTTTGCGGAGATCGATGCAGCTTTGGGCAGGTTTTGAGGTTGATCTTGCCATCGGTTTGAAACAAGTGTGTGTGTGTGTGCACGTGTTTGCATGTCTGTGTGTGTTTTTTTTGTGTACATGTGCATGTGCATGTTGGCAATTTTGGCATGCAGAGGAATGCTTTGCGAGGCTCCTTGCATGATTTCTGGCACGAGTTAAGCATATATACATAATATGTAGCTATATATATATATATATACATAGAAATTTCTCCTGCAGCCCTTTTCATGTGTCCAACCTTGCCCTCAGGCCCGGCTTGCTGTTTTCTTCTTAGCTATGCATGCATCGACCTTTAAAAATTTTTGTCGCATGAAACTCCTTGCAGGTGATGGGGCCCATCGAGATGATCTTCGAGGTTTATCTGCATGGCATGCACGAGGACTGCCAGTGCTTAATGTTTGCATCTGCATGTTTTCGAAGAGCTAGGCATGCAGGAGTGGCAGTGCTTGAATGTTCGTGTCTCCTTTGAATAGGAAGGCATGAGCACAGCATGCGAGCCTCCTGAGATCGCGGCTCGAGCGACAAAAGAAGTTCGATCCAATATCTTCTTGTGCGAACAAGCATGGGTGCCGCCCAGTCGACAACGGGTAACAACAACCCGGCGAGCTCTGGCAACACCAATAACACCCCAGCCCCCATCGTGATCCAGCTACAGCTGGGAGCAGAGCAACTCTCCGCACTCACCGGAGCTGTTGCCCCAGGGGTTCACGTGCATGTGCCCCCCAGTGGGTCGGATGCTGCAGCAGGCGGAGCTAGCACGACTCCAGGAGCTGCCCCCCATGGTGCTCCTCCGGTACCGTTTCCGCCTCCCCCGCCTCCAGCGGAAACTGAGCAGTATCTCAGGTGGTGCAACCGCTGCAAGCAGCAGAGCTACTTCAGGGAGGGCATCTGCCTGAACGAATGGTGCTCCGTGCCTTGGCTGCATTATTGTTTTTCTAAACCTTCGACTACTAAACCCTGCAGCCCTTATAAATCAACCTTTAAACCACCAATCACAAACCCCTAAGCCCCTAAACCATGAGATCTAATTTGAAGATAGGAGGCCGGCCTTTCGGGGGCTGCCTCCTTAAGTTCGTTGCTTTTGTTCCATGGACAAGATGCTAGCTAAGTTGGCTTGGTCGCGGCCAGACGTGGACTTGAACGTGGCGAAGAACTGGGGTGGAAAGAAAGTGGAGGCTTCGGTGCTCAACCACGGAGTGCACAAAGCAAAGAAAAACCGCGGGCAAAAGCGGAAAATCTGGTGGCAAAAGCACCTGGAAAGAAAGGCCGGCAAGTGGGGCGGCGACTATCAGGGCGACGATGAGGAGAATAAGGAAGATGCGGAGGAAGGCAAGGCCCCTCCTCCTGTGGATCCAAACCACCAGCCCCTGGGCAAGAAGGACGGCCCCGACGATGACCACCACGATGATCCGGGCCGCACAGTGGATTCAGCAGGATCGGCAGGATTGCCGCCGCCGATCCACGTGGTTTAAGGACCGATCCTGGTCGCCTGAAGATGCATCTTCGCTTGGAAAAGAGTTGAGGTGTGCTTTGAAGCCTCGGTTGTTTGTGCTTGCATGTCTGCATGCATGCATATATATATATATAGCAGTTCATGCATTCTCAAGAAGTCACTTCCTCGCAGGACCCAGACAGTGCCGACGAAGCCGAGGCACCCGGGCTTATCATGCATGGGCTGGGTGCTAGTGTATGCTCCTCGTGCAGGTATATCTACATGCCGAACTGCGGGGACGATGTGGGGCCGGCCCCGCACTGAAGTTTGTGGTCTGTGTCGCTGAGGCTGGCTCTGGGGACTATACCATCCAGGCTGGCCTTGGTCGTGGTGCCGCTGCCTTGGCTGTGTTTGTGTCTGTTCAGGAGACACTCCTCTTCAGCAGGAGTGCCTCCTTGGGGTTTCAGGAGGCGATCCCTCCTGGTGTGCATGGTGTGAATAGATTTAATCTAAACCACCCAAAGATCTAAAACCCTAGACGCCCAAAGCCCTGAAACTCTAGAACCTTAAGCCTTAAAACCCTAAAACCCTAGAACCCCTCAACCCTAAAACCCCTCAACCCCTAAACCCCTAAAGCACCAAACCCCTAAAACCCAAAACCATTCCAACCCTTAAGCCCCAAACCACCGTGCCGCACAGCACGACACCTCGGAGCCGCTGCAGGTGTGCATTCTCCAGGGACTACAACATGGAGGCTGTTGTTGCCAAGTAAGCTCCTGCTCCTGCAGGTGTGGTGCACTGTTGCCGGCCTCGTGTGTTGCATGCCTGTGGCACCGAGGCCCGACTTCACGGACTATGTCGTCGAGGTGGCTGTTGCTGTGGTGTCGTTTGCTGGGCTGTGTTTTTTTTTCCTGGAGGAGGCAACCCCTGGCTAAGGAATGCCTCCTGGTATGATCTGTTCCAGGAAACCCTCCTGATCAAGGAGGGCTTCCACAGACCAAGCAGTTAAACACTAGTTAAAATTTGAATCTGATTTAACTTGGATTTAACTCCATATAAAAGTACCAGGCAACTAACCGGGAGTTAAATGCAAGTTAAATTGGAGTTAAATTTTAACTCCTCTTTAACTTCTCCGTGCCCCTGAGGTGACAACGTGTCTCTGACTTGGCTATGATCCAGGAAAATGAATGGCCGCAGCTTGGGTGCTGTTGTTGCCTACAAGCATGCATATGTTCTGCTCCTTTGCCTCAGCTTTGTTCATCAAGCCAGCTGTCCCCAGCCGTCGTGACACCAGGCCGTCACTCATGGGAAAGCCAGCTGCCAAGAAGGCCATGGCCAAGGCGAAGAACGGTCCCAAGGCAGCACCCAAAGCCACTGCCAAGGAGCTCAAGAAGCAGGAGATGGAGAAGGCTGCTAAGAAAAAAGATCAAAGCAACTTGGTCACTACCCTCAAGAATGCCAAGACCAAGCTCCAGGGAGTGCAGAACGGCACGATTCAGGTCAGCGACGGCGAGCTGGAAAACCTCAAGAACAAGGCCGAATTTTTCGATCGCTATGTGAGCTTGGATCGCAATGATCCAGAAAAGGCGCAAATGTTGGCTGCCTTCTTGGCAGACAAGACATGCAACAACTACATGCAGAAGATTCGGGAGATCTCCACCGAAACGAAAACCGAGGATGAAAAGGCTTCGGGATTTGTGACACAATGGGAGATTGCCGCCAAAGAGAACCTTCCGGTCGACAGCCCGCTCTTGCAGAAGTTGTTGGACGGTCTCAAGTTCGACTACGATTGGAACGAAGCGGTGCCCAGAGAAAAGGTTTTCAAGGAGGCCGGTGAAAAGCGATTCTTCTATGAGAAGAATGCCATGACAACCGAGAAGACCTCCTTCAGCTCCAAGTCCGGTATCACCGCAGCAGGAGATCTCGGCAAGAAGAAGGCGGACTCCTTCTTGAACGACAAGGACACAAGCACCGCCGACCCCGCCGCCAAGGTGAAGATCGAGTTCCCCTTGCATGTGGAGTTGGTCTCGAGCGTGAAAGTGCTGAAGAGCGGCAAGCAGAAGATCCAGAAGGAGCTCAACACAGGCAAGGACTTGTGCCAGAAGCTTGCCACCGGCGGCGGCTACGACACGACCGATCTGGCCAATGCGATTGACACCTTCGACAACTACCTCGCTACCCTGAGGCAGCGGATCGCAACTGCCGAGGAGGTCCAACCTCCTGATGTTACCAAGGAAGTGGTGGCTGAGCTAAAGGCAGAAATCGATATCGCCGACACACATCTGGATGCCTTTAAGAGGGCCATGACTAAGGCGAAGAACCTTCGCTAGCCATGTGCCATCTGCCAGAGGGGACCTCCTGTGTACACGTTTCGGGAAGATTTATAGAAAGGTTTTGATTAGAGTTGGAAGGTTTAGGGTTTTGGGTGTAGGTTACATGAATCATTTATATCTATATATATATATGTATTATATATATATATATATATATATATATTACACATACAAAAGCTTAATATATTAATATATATAGTTATAAATATGCATACATATATGTATATATATATACATACATATTTCTATTCTGTATTATACCGTATAATAAAAGCATATCGCAGAAATTATGAGTTATAACTAAGTATCATGCATATAACAGATCTATGTATAATATGTTGTGTATATATGTATACATAAAACTGGTATACCGACATATCTTAACTTGTATGCACTTTAGTGTATATATGCATTATAATTATACATTATGTATAAATATACATATATATATATATAGTTAACATTGTAGCTTTACTATTAGATTAAAACTACATACAAGCTAGATCAGGGCTAGATTAGCTATAGGTCTATAGGTTACATATAATACATATATACACACGCATACGTATTATTAAGGTATCTATATATACCCTAAACCTTATAGGTCAGCCGTTTGGATTTGCAACCCCGAACAAGTTTTGAGGAGGTCTCCGCCTAGAGTTCCACAGCTCCAGGTTTTTGAATGATGCCCGGATCGCCCTGCAGCCGCAAAATGCAATCAGCTGGCACATGAGTCATGTGTTTGCATGTTCGAACATGCCTGCTATGCATGACTCCGACCCTTTGCATGTATGTGGATGTGCTTGTGTCCATGCATGCATGCATGCATGCAGCATCGTCGGCTCTTGGCAAATGCTTCAGCGATTTACAACTGTAGGTGTCGGTTGTTGTTCTCGTGCCATGTATACATGTTACCAGGCAAGAAGAGACCAGAGAAAGGCGAAAGCGCCGATCGTCGCCTCAGGTCTCGAGTGGAGAACTTGTTTCTTTCAAACACTTTGAGTGCAGAGGAAACTTCCGATTTGGCTCGGGATGCTCGCGACTCTGGTGTCTCCTCCTTAAGGAGATTGGCCGAGATCGGTGAAAGGAGGCAAGATGGCCTCGCTCGACCCAGGGATATTAGGAGGCACCTATCCAAAAACAGTCACTGGCCTCCTACATACAAGTTTCAAGCTCCGGTTTGGGACAAAGAGAATCAACGACAACAAACAGCTACTTTGACATGCATGCTGCCCCACGAGGTTTTGTATGTCATGAACGAAAAGTCCCCTGAGGGTGGTGGCTTAACAGATCTAGCCCATCTCCAGGAGTCTGAGCTTCAAAGGCATGCTCGGGCTGCAGCTGACATGGGGATCGATCGTGAAAGCCTCACCGGGCTCGGGATTTGGGGCGATGGTGTTCCCATGACCCGAAACAGAAACCAGAGCTTGGAGATGCTCAGCTTCAACATCCTCACATGTCAGCTTCGCAGCACAATGCGAATTCCAGTTTTCGTCATTCAGAAACATTGGCTAGCCCGTGGGGGATCTACATGGGATGCTGTCATGGATGTGCTTCGGTGGTCTTTGACATGTGCAACTTCTGGTCAAATGCCAAAGTACGATCACACAGGTCTGCAGCCGCTTAAGGAACCATGGAGAAAACAAAGGGCATTGATCCATACGCCTCGAAGTGTTTTGCTGGAAATACGAGGCGACTGGGCTTTTTTCAAGCAGGTGCTGTATATGCCGGCATGGTGTCTTGGCTGCATTTAGTATGCTTTGACTTTGTACCTGCATACATGTACTTATTTAGTAATTATTCCCTTTTGTAGCCCGGCAGGAACGAAGCCTCTGGTTGTTGTTGGATGTGCGACATTAAGCCTGAAGATATCCGAGAGGTTTCAGGTGAAGCTGCTTGGATGCAGCCAGAGCACAGGAAGACTCCGTGGCAGGCACTCATGGCTGCTCCTAGCATCAGTCCCATTTTCGCAACACCGTATGTTGGAACTGAGTGCATCCAAATGGATTGGTTGCATGTGGTGGACATAGGAATTGCTTTGCAGTTCCTGGGATCCATAATGAAGTACTTCTGCTCGAAGTTTGAAGGGACGTTTGACGAGCAGGTTCGAGAAATGTTCCGCTGCATTTTGGAGTTCTATGATGTCCAGGCCGTGGAATATAGGTTGGATCATCTAAAGCCTTCAATGATCAAGGATCCTAAGAAGAAGTTCCCCAAGCTTAGAGCAAAAGCTGGGGAATCGCGATGCCTGGTGCCTTGGGCTGCACAGATGGCTGATGCTCTTAGGGATGCTGACAATGAGGTGGAACAGACCATGTACAAGTGTGCCTGGCATTTCAACAAATGCTATGAGCAACTGAGTAGCAGAACGTTCGATGCTGCTGTTTTGGCCGAGCATGGAGTTGCATTCGCAAATCTCTATGTCGCTCTGCATGAGCACTTCACGGTGCAAGGAGTCTGCCTCTTCAAGGTGACTCCTAAACTGCATCTCTTTTGCGAAATCAGCTATCGAGGCCGGGATTGCCCCAGTGTGCACTGGTCATACCGAGATGAGGATTGGGGCGGGAAGATGGCTATTCTTGCAGCCAGCAAAGGAGGAGCCAACACCCCGAATGCCTTGGCCAATGCTTTCTTTTCTCGTTTCACCTCGGGGCATAAAGTGCCTGTGCTTTGATATGCCTATCGCCCGTGCAGAAAAAATGAGAGATCGAAAGCTTCATGCATGCATGCGCATGCATGCAGGCATGGCCTTTGCAAGCCTGCAGCTTGAATGTCGAAACTCTGCATGCATGTTGGCTCGAATATAGTTATATATTCATGGAAGGCCGCCGTGCATGGCGGCTCCAGCACATGATGTCCAGATTTCAAAAGCGAGCTTGCATGCCAGAGGTGAGCATGCATCGTGCCTTATCGACAGTTCAGGCACGATGCATGCATGGCATGCAATGCACTGCGACGCATGATGCGAAGTCGAAGAACAAAGTTGGTTTTGCAGCTGCTGTTTTTTTAAGCTAGCTTTTTCTAGGCATGCATGATTTCGATATATATATGCACAACACATATGCATTGTTCTTTTTCCATGCATGCATGCACGATTCCTACATGATAATGCTGGCATGATCATGCATGAGGAGGGACTATTCCTCCTGGGCGAGACACCTGCAGGTGTCTTTTCAAAGGATGGGCTGAGTGCCCTCCTTGAAATCTACGGTGCTGCAAATGCAAGGCTTCAATATATATGTACATGCATGCATTTATAATCATGATGATACATATATACATGGCATGCATGGTTTTGATTTTATAATACCATGACATGCATGCTCCTTAAACAGAATGCCGCATGTGGAGTTTCTATGCAATCTGAAGCCGATATCGATGAGTCATGCATTTGCATATATATATATATATACATATATCATATAGTAGGATGCATGACTGCATGCATGTGCATGGATCGATATCTGTATGGCATACTACATGTACATTGATATATTCCCACGACACCGAACACATGCTCCCTAAACAGAATGCCGCATGTGAATTTTTCATACTTAACGAAGGGCATAAAATATTCAAGTCCTCCCTACACCTGTTTCCTTAAACAAGATGCCCGCAGTTCATGAACTTAACATGCAACTTGCCATGCCGCACCTCACGTCGAATCTTCCTTAATTAAGGAGGAAAGTTGTCTTCTTTAATTAAGGCGTATTGTCGTTAATTAAGGATTACTACCTTAATTAAGAATGGTTTTCTTCTTTAATTAAGGATTATAGTCTTTAATTAAGCACTATAGTCTCTAATTAAGGGTGCTTTTAAGCGCTCATTAAGTTAATTAAAGGCTGAACTCTTAATTAAGGTCTATTGGGTTCTCTGGGAACACGCAGCCCTCGCCAACCATGAGGAGCTACGCTGCTCCGCGCCCAGAGGAGCCCGAACCGAAACGGCTCAGGATAGAGGACGAGGAGCCGGAGCCCACCGAAGAAGCGCACGTTCACCTTTGCAACCTCTACGTGCCGGCGTCGATGGAGGAGCTCTAAGCGAAGCCGAGTGCGGAGTTTGCGGACGAAGTGCTGGCTCCGACTGTTCAGCGTGACTGTTGGGCAACGCGCAAGGAGCAGAAGGCGCTGGAGAAGGAGATCCCCTACTCCATGATCCCCGAGCACCAGTTGCAAGACTACCACGAGGCGCTCGTGAAGGAGTGGGGAGTGTGGACCAAGTACGACGCGGTGGAACCGCTCGCACTGGAGGCCAGCGCTGCGGTGGAGGCGAGCTTCGACCGAGCTCGCATCCTGGACACGCGAGTGTGCTACAGGAACAAGAACGCAGCCTTTCCCTGGTTGCCACTGAAGGCGAAGGCACGGCTGGTGTGCCGCGGGGACAAAGACCCGGATTTGCTGACGCTGCGGCGAGATGCGCCGACCATGACGCGGATGGGCCTGATGGTCATCTTGCAGATAGCAGCATCGATGCCGACCTGGTTCCTGTTCAACTCCGACGTGACGGGCGCTTTTCTCCAAGGGGACCAGTCCCTGGCAAGCCGGAAAGAACCGCTGTTTCTTCGGCAGCCACGAGAAGGACTTCCTGGACTGGTGGCAGGACAGCTGCTACTGGTGGTCCGTGGAATATTCGGACTGGCGAACTCCCCGAGGCTGTTTTGGCGGCACCTGCGGGACACCTTGAAGAAGATCGGCTTCACCCAGTCGACGCTGGACAAGGCGCTCTTCATGTACTACCAGGCGGGCCGCTTGATTCTGGTCCTCGGAGCGCACGTCGACGATTTGCTGGGGACCGGCCAGCCAGGCACAGCAGACCCGATCTTGGACCGCGTGCGCAAGGCCTTCGACTTCGGATCCTGGGCGGACTCGAGGCAAGAACGCGTGCTCGAGTACGGAGGGAAGCAAGTGACCAAACGAGAGGACGGCGTCGTGACCTTGTCGCAGGAGAAGTTCATCCAGGCGATCTCCGTCTACACGGTTCCGCGCTGGAGGACGGTCACCCCGCTGTCTCCTTTAATCCCCTCCGAAGTGACCGAGCTGAAGTCCGGCGGAGGGTGCCTACACTGGCTGATCGGACAGACCCGGCCGGACCTGGCGGCAGCAACATCGTTGAATATGTCCGGGCAGCCGACCGTGACCAATTTGGTCGAAATCAACAAGCTGCTCCGCGAGGCCCAGAAGACGCAGGACTGGCAGTTGACCTTTGTGCCGGTTCCACTGGAGAAGGCGAAGATCATCGCCTTTAGCGACGCCTCGTGGGCAAACGCAGAAGGCCTCAAGTCACAGGCCGGCTTCTTGACATTCATCGCCGGGCCGGATGTGATGACTGTGCAAGGTGACCAGGCCTCCTTGATGGATTGGCGCAGTCACCGCATACAGCGTCAATGCCGGAGCACCCTCGCTGCTGAGACGATGGCCATGGATACCGCCTTCGACAGCGGCATCTTCTTGAGAGAGCTCATGGCAGAGATTCTGATCGAGAGCTATAAGCCAGTGCAGTCGGGTTCCTTGCCTCCTGAGATTTTCACTGTGCACCCCGTTACCGACTGCCGTTCGCTTTACGACCTTCTCACGAAGGATGGGCCGGTGAGCAGCACGCAAGAGAAGCGGCTCACCATCGATGTCGGCGCTATCAAAGAGGGCGCAGAAGAGTTTGATCCTGAGGGTGAAGCCCTAAAGGAAATTTTCAAGTGGGCCGATACCGACCATCAGTTAGCTGATCACCTGACGAAAGCCAAGCCACCTCATCAGTTGAAGGACCTTCTTTCAGCAAACTGGTTGTCGTTGCAGGCCGTAGATCCAGCCTAAACCGGCCTGGATCTCTTAAAAAGAGGTTGTTGAGTGCAATCGTTGCTCATTTCATGCAGCCTTTCAGATGCGACTCCCGCCGACATGAGGGCCCTTGAGCGTAGCGGAAAACAGGTGTGCAGCCCTGTAATGCTGAGCCAACCAGGCTCCACTAACCGAATCTGAGGAGTGCGAAGCCTCCAGATTGCAGTTCCCAGCTACCAGTTCGTGCAGCAGGCGCAGCAGTTGCTCTTCCGGTTGGGAAGCGGCTTTTCAGCGCCTGGGCCTTGGGTTTGGGCAGGCTCACGCTGCCGGACACTTTACCGCCGGGTTCGTCCCAGTTTGGTAGGGCATTTGGGCCCCTGAGTCTCGGAGTCTTGGCAGACTTCAAGTTTGTTTTGCCATGCTACTTTCAGGCACACACTACAGTCGCATTTAAGTCTCCAGATTTGCACGAGTGGTCGAATCCTCCCACTCTATGTTACTCCGTACTAGTATCAGTGGTCACAAGCTCCCAGATTCTACTTTCCTTATTGCCTTGGTTTGATGAGTCATTTTGTTGTTTGGACATCGTTGCCATCAGCATCGTTGCACTACTCCTAACAGGAAGCCATGACATTCTTGCGCTGCTATGCTCTCACATGGTATACCGCTCGTACGATCACCGTGGCAAGTCTTACCAGCATCACCGTTTACGGCATGTTTTGTTTGACGATGCTTCCCGTCTTTGCTTCCCAGGCATCGCTGTTTCCGGTGGCAGAATTCAGGCCGACATCCCAGCTCGCGAGAGGAATCGGCACGGATGCGGGTGTAGTCCGAAATGACAATATCACGGATGTACCTGTGGCAGTAGTACTAGTAGTCGTCAGAGGAGTAGTAGTAGTAGTAGTAGTAGTAGTAGTAGTAGTAGTAGTAGTAGTAGTAGCAGTAGTAGTAGTAGTAGTAGTAGTAGTAGTAGTAGTAGTCGTAGTCGTAGTAGTAGTAGTAGTAGTCGTAGTCGTAGTAGTAGTAGTAGTAGTAGTAGCAGCAGGAGTAGTAGTAGGAGTAGTAGGAGTCGTAAGTCGTGAGTCGTAAGTCGTAAGTTGTAAGTCGTAAGTCGTAAGTCGTAAGTCGTAAGTAGTAAGTAGTAAGTAGTAAGTAGGTAGTGGTAGTGGTAGTAGTAGTAGTAGTAGTAGGAGTAGTAGGAGTCGTAAGTCGTGTGTGTCGTGTGTCGTAAGTCGTAAGTCGTAAGTAGTAAGTAGTAAGCAGTAAGCAGTAAGTAGGTAGTGGTAGTAGTAGTAGTAGTAGTAGTAGTAGGAGGAGTAGTAGGAGTCGTAAGTCGTGAGTCGTAAGTCGTAAGTCGTAAGCAGTAAGCAGTAAGCAGTAAGTAGTAAGTAGGTAGTGGTAGTAGTACAGTAGTAGTAGTAGTAGTAGTAGTAGTAGTAGTAGTAGTAGTAGTAGTAGTAGTAGTAGGTTTAGTAGTGCATGCGATGACATGGGTCACTTGAGCTTCCAGGCCTTTATGCCGAATGGCGGCCACAACAAAAGCCGCTGCTGCTACTACTACTACTACTACTACTGCTACTGCTACTTAAAACACTTCTACTTCTACTACTACTACTACCACTACCACTACCACTACCACTACCACTACCACTACTACTACTACTACTGCTACTACTACTACTACTACTACTACTACTACTACTACTACTACTACTACTACTACTACTACTACTACTACTACTACTACTACTACTACTCCTACTGCTACTGCTACTACTACTACTACTACTACTACTACTACTACTACTACTACTGCTACTGCTACTGCTACTGCTACTGCTACTGCTACTACTACTACTCCTACTCCTACTCCTACTCCTACTCCTACTCCTCCTACTGCTAC